CTAACAACATGCCCAAAGTATGTGAGATGACGTTTCACTATCCTTGCTTCCAAGGTGCATGCTTGCTGCACCATTTCCAAGACATACTTGTTTGTCTGTCTGGCAACACATGTGATATTCAGCACTCTTCTCCAGATGAAGAATCAATGTCTTTGAGTTGTGGTGTTGAAATCACATGCCTTTGAGTTATGGTGTCAGTAATAATGGGCTTAAGTTTATTGGAAATGGTGAGGATGACACAGGATAGGGCCAGGTTCAGGTCTGTTGTCTGCAGGGTTGTTAAGAGTTGCAGTTACTTGATGACACATAACAATCATAACAAGAAGAAGTGTTCTTTGAAGTATATTGCCAGGTCTTTCTTCCGAGTTACCTCTATGTAGACTCTGACAGCTAATCCTATAGTTAGGTAGCAGAAGAGCTCATTAGCCTTTTGTACCACCCTGCTAAAGAGCAAAGATGCTGCTTTGAGGACTAAGGCAGGCCTGACCCAAGCTGTGGTATTTTCAGATTCTTTCTGTCATGTGAATGTTGGATAATGAATAGGAAGAATAGAAGAACTGATGTCTTTGAATTAAGTGTGGGTGAAGAATATTGGATACAACAAGGACTGCCAGAGGAGGAAGCCAATTTGTCTTCGAGGAAGTGGAGACAGGCACACAGATGGTGGAACTTTGTGTCATATACTTGAGGCATGTTGCCAGGAGAGGCCAGTCCTCAAAAAAAGGACACCATGCTTGAAAAATAGAGGCTCATCAAAAGAGGGAAAGGCCCTCAACAAAGCCAACTACTGATAGTGACAGGAACAAGAAGCAGCAATCAACTGGGACAGCAGAGTTAGTGAGGGCAGGGCAGGATTGCACAGGGTTTATTAAATATTTTACCTTGGGTTACTAAGAATTAAGAGTTGCCTCAATGGCATCTAACAACAAGGGCTTATGTTAAGCATTGTTGTTGCATAGGTAGAGTCGGAACCCATTCATAGCTGACCCTCTAGCTGGCTGTCAGAGGAGGTAACTAGCATAGGAAAAGATTGTTCATGCTTCTCCTGCAGAACATCTGGTGGATTTCAATTGTGTGCTTATGAAATTGTCGTACAATTTATTACTATTAGACCTCTAGAACTTCTAAAGTAGGTAAAATAAAGTATAGAGTTAGAAAATGGAAGATATTTTTTGAAGGGACTTGGCAGATGTGAAGGGTTATCCTGGTGGAGGGTGGAGCTGGGAAGTAAGTGGGTCAAGGCACTGGGCTAAGGGTGGGGTCAACACTGTAACTAATGCTTAACTCCACA